TCCGGGGGGGACGGGGGGAAATTGGAGAGTCCCACATTTTGCCTAAAAGCCCCGTTTTCTACGATCCTGGTGATTTCATCGAAGGCGGGGCAAAGAGCACCGTTCGAGCCTTTAAAAGTGCCATCCTATTTTTTTGAACCACCGCGCGCCTCCTCTTTGGTCCCGAGCCACTGCAATTTCTTGGCCGACCATTGGCCCCTCCCGGGTTTGGCCACAGCCACCCCTCGCCACAGCCACCCCCACCCCCTCGCCACAGCCACCCCAGATCTCCCCAGATCTCGCGCCTCACGCCCTCTAGGCGATCGCGCTCGCCCAGGAGTACGTAGCCGAGGAGGGCCTCTCCCTCTCCTTCACCGTACAGTTCCGCGACCTCGAGGCACTACAGCCGAGAGATTGCAGCCGAGAGGCTGCCGCCGAGAGACCGCCGAGAGACATGCCGAGAGACATGCCGAGAGACATGCCGAGAGACATGCCGAGAGACATGCCGAGAGACCGCCCGCATCGCGGCTGCCTCGCGGCTGCATCTCGGCCGCATCTCGGCTGCATCTCGCCCCTCTCGTGCCCAGGACCCGTCTCTGCGCGGCTCGCCCGTCTCCACCTTCGTCCAGTTCATCATCGTGCGCGAGGCGTGAGGGCCAGTCGGCGGTCGGCGGCGGAGGAGGCGTGGGGCCAGCCACTAGGGGCGCCGTGTGTGCCACGACGGGGCCGGCGGCGGGCGAGAGGGAGCCCGCGGCAGGGAGCCCGCCCCCTCCCTCGGCCATTCCGACGGCCTCCTGTCTGCCCTCCAGTGTTCTCCCCGCAGCCGCCATGCTGCCGCCGCCGTCGTAGAGAGGGCCAACAGGCCTACGTTTTACAGGCGCAGAACGGCGTGGTCGCTTCGGGGCCGGGCGGACGCGGTGTGAGGGTGTGTCTGTCTCTCTTTGTCAGTGTGCGTTATCCTCACCAGTTGGGAGTTATGTATCTCGAAAGTTCCGAGAGCTGTCACGGCTGAGCTGACCCCGCTCCCCGCGGCCCGTTAGCCGTTTGGCGTTTGCGTTTCAGGCTCCCAGAGCGCAGAGGGCCTCTCGGAGAGGGTCCGTCAGCCCCGTCACTCGACGGCTCACGCACCTGACCACCGCCCGTCAGCCCCGTCAGCGTCACCTCACGCACCGCCACCGGCCACCGGGCCCGCAGCGGATAGAGCCGAGCCGTACGGTCGTGCTCGTGGAGAGCCGGGGGACGAGCTCCACGTCGGCAGCTGCGCCTTCCGCAGCTGCGCCTCCCTCGCCTGCGTCACCGTGCCAACCACCGCCACCGTCCGCCTCACCGCCTTCGAATCCACAACCACCGTCCTCCGCCTCCCGCCCAAGAGGATGCGCGACCTGCAGCGCTGGTACGAGGCGGTGGACGGGGCTCTGGCCTACAAGCGCTGCCGCCCCCTCCTCTACGGCTGGCTGGAGAAGGCCCAGATCGAGCTCGGCTCTTACGGCCCGGACGGCGCGGCGCGCCAGCGCGACCGCGACGAGTTCGAGGGCGACTTTGCGTCGGCGACTGCTCGCGGTCCAGACTGACATCAGGCGTGCAAGGTGTGCTCTTTTCCTATTCAAACGACAGACATCTCCCGCATACCACTCACCCTGCGATGCGCTTCGCTGAGACCTCGAGAGAGTGGTGCCGAAGGCGCTGTCCCCCGTATTCCCCCGTATTCCACTTTGGCGGCCGTCCACCAGGCAGCCATTTCCTCGTCCGCTCGCGCTTGCCGCGCCGCATTTCGCCCAACTATGCCGCATAGTCGGGCATAGCAATAGGCATAGCTGCACGTCTAGACCCCCGCGACGCCTATTGCTCACGGAACCCGCCGCCTCCTCACCACCCCCACCACGCGATGCGCCGCGCCGCGCGAGCTGCTGTACCCCCCATCTGCCTCGCAACGCCTGCCCACTCCCGCTCGCAGGTACAGCCGCTGCCATCGAGGAAGCCGCGAGACGCGTCCGCTGCTGCCCATTCCCCACCCTTGTCCCGCGCGACCGCCCTCCCTCTCTTCTGGCAAGAGAGCGACCCGCTCTCGCTTGCTCGCCAATCGCCGCCCGGCTCCAGTCCGAGCGCCGAGGACGCGAGAGAGCGCGCCGGCGGCCTCGTCTCGACGCTCACGCCGCCGACGTACTGCCCGTAGGCGCGGCTCTCCTCTCTCGCTCTCTCTTCCCGTTCAGCTGCATTCATTTTTTGTGTTTGTGCAGCCGCCGTGCCTGATTTCTTTTTATCCGTGTAGGCGAGGGTCGAGGGCATGGGGCGGGTTGGGGGGGGGGGGGGGGCTGCCGGGCTGGGTGGGTGGGTGGCGGGCGGGCTCCAAATCTTATCGTTTCGAGGGGAGATTCCCCGAGATTTTATCGTAGCCATATACCCCCATGTACCCCCATGTACCCCCATGTACCCCCATATACCCCATATACCCCCCAGACATCTTAATACCAGTTTTTCCCCCTCTTTCCCATGGTCGCGATCCCGTAGGCGCTTGCCTTTCCTGCTACGAGCCGAGATTGACCTGAGATTGATCCTGCCGAGTCAAGTTCCCGCCCCGCTCGCATCTCTGCTGCGTCTAGAGAGTGCCACTCTGTGTCCGTAGCCGCGAGGGCCACTCGAGAGCGCTGGCCTGCACCTCCCATCGGGGACACCACCCTCAACCGCTTCTTGACTCTCTGCAGGAATTCATTCGATCAACATGCGCAGACCTCCCGCTGTCCGCTCGCAGGTGAGTGCTTCGGCCCGTCCACGGCGCTTGCTGTCCGCGGCCGCCTCGACCGCTGCGAAGCCGTAGCTTGAGCCGCCCACGCCATGCTTCGCGTGGCCGTGTGCCGGATTCTCATTGCTGCTTCTTTGGTTGCGTCTTCGGATGCCGAGCGATCATGCATCACCTTCGGTTCGGACAAGGCCGACTTCTCGGACGGCTGGCTTCACTGTCCCGGCAACACGTTTGTCGATAGCATTCAATTTGAAGATGCAGTGCTCCAAGCGCTGCGCGGCTCGATCGAGATGCAGTGCTGCGAGGACCCGAATCACCCGAGCGCGGCGCTGAAGAATTGCGAGACGTTTTTGGTGGACGATCCGTCGAAGAAACACCGCTTCAACTCGGCGATCCTCTCCCGTGTTCGTGAAGAAGCAGACGCCAGTGGGGGTTGTCCCACCGTCTCGGACAGCTCGGGTCACTTTGACTGGCCCGGGGGTTCCCCCCTCCTTATTTGGCCAGAAAGTGACCCGAGCGTGGAATGGTGCTGCTCTTCGTCGCCCGAGAACCTGCTCGATCAGCAAAGTTGGTGCAAGCAGTTCGAATGGTGCTGGAAGACTGGCCTAGGCGGTTGTTGGAGCACGGCAAGCGCGCAATCTTGCTGGGTACCCAGACAATCTTGTCCGTGCTGGTCCGCCCGTGCTCTGTGCAAACCCGATGGAGATGACAGATGCTGGTGCGATGGTACGGCTCTGTTCCCGAAGCCGAGCTCCGACGTCTGCACACGCGTCCCTGCCTCCACGAGCTGCCCTCACGACGCCGTTGCCGAGCTCCACGCATCGCTGGAAGCGCCTCGCTTTTGCCCTGCGGAGAAGCCGACGCTGACCGGCCTCTACTTGAAAGAGCAGACCGGTGTCACAGCGGCGCGCTGCTGCAGCCGTGACACCGAATCCGTGAACGACGTCCAGGTGATCGACTGCTACGAGCCGCTCTTTGGTTTGGACGGAAGCGACAATGCGCCAAAGGCAAACTGGCTCACCGCAATGAACGCACCAGGCGCCTCGGTCTTTCTTGATTCCAACTCATCGATTGTCGTCAAGGAGCAGTGCTTTCTGCCTTTCGATCAATGCCGCGTGGAGCAGCTCAACCGCGACGGGGCCCTCGGTTCCGGATGCGAGGACTCCGCGAAACCGTTTGTGCTCGAGGACGCGCGAGATGTCAAAGATGGCATTCAATGCTGGTCCAATGGCCAGTTGAATCACGACGCGTGTCCTTCTGGGTACGCATGCTGCCGACAGGGCTGGGTGTCGGTGTCGGGCAATACGCAACAGATGTGCCAGTGCGCGGACGCATCCTGCGACGACCTTCCCGATACAGGGGGTCAACACAAGTGCATCAGCACCAGGATCGTCACTCCCTCCGACCCTGCGAAAATGAACATGAAGCAGATTTGTGAACTTTCCTCCACGGTGCGCCAGCAGTGCCCCAAGTCCTGCGGACTCTGCCAACCGGGCCCGTGCCCGAGCGGACTGGTTCCAACAGCGGCGGGCGGGTGCGCGCCTGCTCCCGATGGCACGGGCCGGGACGAAGGCAACAGCATCACGAAATGTCAAAACGAGGAGGGCGAGGAGGGCGAGGAGGGCGAGGAGGAGGAGGAGGACGAGGAGGACGAGCTTCCAGGCCTTCTCGGCCACGGCGAGGGCGTGCTGCAGCTGAAGACGCCGACCCGTCTCCCTTCGCTCCTCGGAGGCGAGCGCGCGATTAGTGTAGCGGCGTCACAATACTTCAGCCTCGCTCTCACCGCGGACGGCGCCGTTTGGTCCTGGGGCTGCGGCTGGCGGGGCATGGGACACGGCGATGACGAGGACCAGTGGCAGCCCAAGAAGAACGACGCCCTTGCTGGGCAGCGAGTCGTCGCTGTGTCGGCTGGAGCCTACCACAGCCTCGCCCTCACCACCGACGGCGCCGTCTGGAGCTGGGGCAGTGGAAACTTTGGCAAGCTGGGCCACGGCGACGCGCAGAACCAGCTGCTGCCCAAGAAGATCGAGGCCTTTGCCGGCCAGCGCATCGTCGCTGTGTCGGCTGGACAGTACCACAGCCTCGCCCTCACCGCCGACGGCGCTGTCTGGAGCTGGGGCCGTGGACACGATGGCCAGCTGGGCCACGGCGACTGGCAGAACCAGCTGCTGCCGAAGAAGGTCGAGGCCTTCGCTGACCGGCGCGTCGTCGCTGTGTCGGCTGGAGGCAGCCACAGCCTCGCCCTCACCGCCGACGGCGCTGTCTGGAGCTGGGGCCGTGGACACGATGGCCAGCTGGGCCACGGCGACGAGCAGCGCAGGCTGCTGCCGAAGCAGGTCGAGGCGTTGGCTGGCCAGCGCGTCGTCGCTGTGTCGGCTGGGACTAACCACAGCATCGCCCTCAGCCCCTCACTGCCGGCGGCGCCGTTTGGAGCTGGGGCGGTGGAGGCTCTGGCGAGTTGGGCCACGGCTGGACGCTGAGCAAGCTGCTGCTGCCCAAGAAGATCGAGGCCTTTGCTGGCCAGCGAGTCGTCGCTGTGTCGGCTGGGTGGCAGCATAGCCTCGCCCTCTCCGACGGCGCTCTCTGGAGCTGGGGCCATGGAGGTGCTGGCCAGCTGGGCCACGGCGACGAGCAGACCCAGCTGCTGCCAAAGAAGGTCGAGGCCTTCGCTGACCGGCGCGTCGTCGCTGTGTCAGCTGGAGAGTACCACAACCTCGCCCTCAATGCCGACGGAGCTGTCTGGAGCTGGGGCGATGGCTACCATGGCCAGCTGGGCCACGGCGACGAGCAGGCCCGGCTGCTGCCCAAGAAGGTGGAGGTGTGGGCGCCGGGGCAGTGAGCCCACGTAGCGGAGTTTGTTGAATTCCGCTCCAAAACGTCGTCCGCTTTCTCGGGGCGTAATTCGTCGCGCTTTCCGCACACCTGTCACCTCTCCTCGGCAGCGCGCTCGCAGTCGCACGCCCTCGCGTCAAATCTCAAAACACCGTCAAGCGTCATGACTCATGTTGCCCCCTTTCAGCGTTTCGGGTGTCCTGATTCAGATGCGACATATCCTCACCAGTTGGGAGTTATGTATCTCGAAAGTTTACGAGAGCTGTCACGGCTGAGCTGACCCCCCCGGGCCCGGCCCGTCAGGCTCCCAGAGGAGCGCAGAGGGTCCGTCAGCCCCGTCACTCGACAGCTCACGCACCTGACCACCGCCCGTCAGCCCCGTCAGCGTCACCTCACGCACCGCCACCGGCCACCGGGCCCGCAGCGGATAGAGCCGAGCCGTACACGGTCGTGCTCGTGGAGAGCCGGGGGACAAGCGCGACGAGCCCGCGCGCCGCCCGCCGCCAAACATATCGGCAAACGCAGCAGCGAGCAGGACCGCGACTTACTCTAGGTCTACAAGTGACTAGTGACAGGTGCCCCCGCCGCCGCACCGCTCTCGCCACCCGCATGCCCGCCACCCACGTCCGCACGCACGCTGCCGCCGCCTCGCAGCCACCCCGTCCGCCCCGCAGCGCTCCCTTCGATGGCGGCACACCGGCACCTCCTCGTCGGCGACTACTGCTGAATCGGAACCTGGCTCAGTCTGCCTTGCGCGTCCTCCTTTGCTTGGCTCCTCTGGCGGCGGAGGCGGCGGCGGCCGCCGGCCCGCCGCCACCGCCGCCGCTCTCGCTCCGTCGGCCGTGCACGAAGATGCCGGCGCCTACGAGCGTCAAGCCGTCTCGGGCCAACCGCCAGCAGACGGAGAGGGGCGAGGGGTGCGCGGCACTCGATACGGCTAGAGAAGGGCGTTGCAGTGCGCAGCAAGAAAAGGAAGGGTCGGGCAGATAAGGCCAACGGGAGCGCTCACCCATCATGCCGAACCACACGGCGGTGCAGGCAGCGTAGAGGCCCGTCTGAGAGCAGGTCGAGAGGCAGGCAGTGAGAAGTACGCGGCGGTGGTGCAAGAGAGCGTTGGCGGCGGCGGCGGCGGCTACTCTGGTGCCTGCTGCTTCTGCGGCACTGTTTGAAGCCACTTGTCGAGGCCGAGAGCGGAGTCGTAGGTATCGCGTAGGGACAGCAGGTCGTAGTACACCACGCACACACACAACGCCGCCACAGCGAGGCTCATCGCAGCAACACCCACCAAAGTGTAGCTCACCATGCTGAACGAGGGGGGCCAGGTACAGAGTCGCCCCTCCCCGGGGGCTCTCGATCGAGACCTCGAGAGATTACATCCCACACCGCCTGTGTTTCGCCTTCCTATCTATCCGGAGGACGTCGGCCCCGGGCTAGCGAGGCGCTTTCGTCGGCCTCGGCAACACCGAGCCCGGCACGAGCGCGGACGTCTTCGGCCTCGAGCAGCGCGACGCTGTCGGGGACGGTGACTTCAGGCTGCCGAGCGACGGCGGCGGCTACGTGGCGTACAAGAAGGCGGACTACGCGCACGCCCTCTCGCGCTCGGTGACACGGACGTACAGATGTACCTGTTTGAAACCTTTGGCGGGTGGTGCAACGCGGTCAAGCGGCTGTTCTACCAGATGAAGGACAAGGTGCGCAACAAGCTCTCGACGCGGCAGCACGAGGACGAGGCGAGCTGGTCGACGCGGTCGTGGCTGTCGCTGCAAGCCCAGCGCATGGTCAGTCGCGCTGCAGCTCGCGGCGGCGGATGAAATTGCGACCGAGCTCAGGCTCGCTGCGTGCGGCGTTGGAGGACGCCACCGTCGGTCGCCTAGACTCCCTTGCGTCACCACGTGCCTCCCCGTGTTTGTAGCCTGGCGTTTGTGCCCCGTTTGTGCCGCGTCCCGTGCCCCCGAGTTCATTTTAATAAGCAGAGTGAGAAAGAGAAGGACAAAAAAGGTAAAAAGCGCTTTGTGTGAAAAAACGATTACCTCACTCAGGTAGGTAGGGTA